ATAGTGGGTACGTAGTGCGTTGAATGCTTCTCTTCCATTGCCTGCAATGTTGATGGCTTGGAGGGTCGCTTCAGCTTCGGTATTCCCCACGATAAACTTGCTGAGAAGGACTAGTACTTTGGCGTTATCCATGACGTATGCTTCGCCAACATGTGGTGCCATGTTGATGTAGATTTCCAAGAAATCTTCGTGCAGGTTATTTGCCGACCTCATTTGAAGTTTTTTGCTTGAACCTACTGTGCGCGCGTAGAACCATGAAACTACAATCACTAAAACTTACCTCAAATGTAATACACACGTTTCCAGGAATCCATGAAGATATCAAAGGGTTAAGCTGAAAACTTAGAAATAGAGCAAATGAACCATTCCAAATCTGATGGAAAAATCAGAATTAGTTTATCATCGTTTTTTGCCACCATTTTGCATGCCCAAGCCCAGACACGAGACTGTTGAATCACTGAATTGGTCTCTTTTTTCCTTGAGGAGGCCCTATTTTACCTATCAATGATGCTTCACCCCTCTCATTTTGTTCAATAAGTAGTTCCGACAATATGACAGCATTTTGGTGGGAATCTTCAGAGCAATTCCTGTCTCCCATGGAAGCAGAATGCGTCCATGTCAAAGTGCACCTTGCAAAACAAGTGCAGTCATGGTGTAGATCTGCCTTTCTACTGAGCCAGCCATGCATATGTTGTGCCCATCACACCTTAAATAGTCTCTGGATAGTGTGTTGGCAGTATGCGGGTATGGTTGCAACTCTTATTGACGATTCACGGTTGATTGTCTGGACTTGAAAATACTGTGAAGTGGTCGATAATCTCGGCTTCAAATGCCATGTAAAGTATCATCATTTTCAATTCCCAAGTCCAATTGGAACAAGAAGATCCTGTACGATACCATCGCCTCGTCCATGCAAACGTATTTCGCAACTGCGACGATTCGTACTGCAAAGGCAGCAATCTCCATAATATCAACATAGACTCTTGAAAACCTAGTAGCTTCCTTACCATATCAGATATCGGCATGGGAAGGGATGTACGTCTGCTGGGAGGAAGGTTGGTTGTTGATGTTCCCGGTGTTGATGTGGTGAAGTTGGCGGCAAATTTTCCTTTGTGCAGTCGATTGGATGGAGCCTTTGGTGATCAACACTACCACACATCGAACACATCAGCGAATTCCATGTCCTAGACTTGATAATAGTCGCTGTAACTTTGGGGCTTCCGGGGGTAGAGCCATTGGGTTGATATTCTCCAAGATGTCGGAGGTGGCTCCAAGATGACGAAATCTCAAACTTCCTCCAATACGCAAAAATGCTGGTAAATTGCGTATTGCTTTGACTAGGGACTGAAGTCAAGCAGTCCCATCAGCTTCATCTGTGACAATATACCTTGTGTCAAGGCACACAGTTCAATAATACCATCATTCTGTTTTCACAAGTCGATAGTAACAATATGACAGAGGGTGTAGATGGGTGCAGATTGCTTCAATAGTGGAGTGTAAGGTATTTGGAATTCGATTTGGTCTGGATGACAAGTTGGTGTCAATTTTTTGGTTTGAAATGGGAAAATGAGCGATCTGGGGGCGTAACCAACCCTTTCAAATACTCTACATGTTGTAGAATGCATTGCCTTGCTAATATTCAACGGATGTGATTTGTGTTCAATTTGGGGGACTCGGCCCTGATCAGGGCCGTCTGACCCCCGATGGGTTGTGGCAATTTCCTACAACTATAGTTGTAGGAATTTCCCACAACTATTTTTTCCGATTCCTACAGCTACAGTAGTTGTGGGAATTTTTGGCAAAAAACTGTTCCCACAACTAGTTGTGGGAAATCGCGTTAAATATCGCGGGGATGAAATAAATTTAAAAGGGGGAATTCCCACTGCCTCATTGTTCTGAAATTCCGGTCACAAATACCGTTGAACTTTAGATGACCGCAACGAGATCTCGCAATTTGCCATATAAATAAAAGGGTAATCGAGCCTCATCAAAAAGTGTCCATTGCTGCGTCTAAAACTTGGATGATAGTCTCAAAACTTGGACACTTGTATATATATACTTGTACCGGTATGTGATTTCATACGTAGCAATATATATATTAGATGCACATCAGCATTCACCCAATACTGCGAGTGATGAAGTTCCCATTATTGTCATCCACAAATTAAGTTTAATCTCAAAATCCATCCCAAGCTTGTATATTGGCTACATTAGAGCACAATCAAAAAGATCTCATGTATGCAGAAGATGAAGTCGATTCGGAATCATTTCGGCCCTCAGAACAACCTGCTTGCGTTGTTGTTCTCGTAGACGAGTTGTTGTGGATGGATGCAAGCGGCAGAAGTGAACACCCCCGAACGTCGAGAAGCTCATCTCGGAGACGACTACGCCGCAGTTTGAGTAGGTCTCGAAGATCTACAAGTTCTCGCAGTAGTCTGAGTAGCAGTTCTGGAATATCGGAAAGCAGCTCGTCTAAAAGTATTGGATCTCAGATGCGAAGGAGCAGACGGCGTAAAGGCGAAAGAAGCAGTCTGGGAAGCAACACAAGTGCGGCTGGAGATCGATTGCGTGCTGGCGGCAGCAGTCATGCCAACAGCTATTGTTACAAAGAGACTGGGGAGCAGAGGCCAATTCACCATACATCGAGATCTTTGAGTAGTAGAACCTTAAAAAGACAACGAAGACACTCGGACGGAGATGAATATACTGATACTACGGTTAATACGGCGACGGATGCTACAGCTATGGGTGCTAGCGAAGAAGACCTCACTTCAAAGGCTTCTAAACCACAGAAAGAAATAGAATCTCATGACATCACCAAAATGCGACATTCAAGAGGTGCTATTTCTACCAGCAGTCATAGTCATTCGACCAAGAGTATTCGGAGTTATGATGGTTCAAGAAGCAGCAAGGAAATTCTCTATGGTACGGATGGTGATATCAAGAAGGCCAAGACGACCAAAATCCCTCGTGCCACAAAGCCGGGAGTTGATAGATTGCGCCACACTTGGCACAGCCCATCTAGGAGTAGTCGCACTACGATGGACTTGCTCTATGGTGACAACAGGAAAATTGACGAGCTCGATCATAGAAGCAGTAGGCACAGTAGTGCCAGTGAGCCTGGTATGGAACGAGTGCTGGGAACTTTGGAACTGCTCTATGGAGACGACCAAGACGACGTCAAGTGCAAGGCCCGAGTCAGCAAGAGTTCTCGCTCCTCCAAACCCGGCGTAGAACAAGTTGGCGGTGACGACGACGATGGGTACTCTTATGATTTCCCGATTGCAAGTGTGCCACGAGAAGTCTATAGCAACACGGTTACATTACCAGCTACTGTTGGTGATGCTGCTGGTTATGATGAACCATCAGCTCACGATAGTAGGAATGATCATCATTCCACAGCTACTGCTGACTCTGTCACGATTGTTGTGCAAGGAAATAGTCGGGAAAAAAGGAGAACCAGCCCACTCTGTATCATTCTTTGTATATTGTTTGTTCTGCTTATTTTGGTGGTTGCTGTTGTGGCAGGTTTTGTGCTACTGCAGGACCGCAGCGACAACAGCAATGAAAATACGCAAGCTATTCTTGGGGGTGCCACCAACATTACAGATGCACCAACTCCATCTGTAACTCTATTTCCCACCGGAGTTTTAAACAGCAGTGCTCCCACTATGATTCCGTCAACTCGATCTCCATCGGGAGCACCACCAACCTAGCTTTTCAAGTTTGTTGGTATACCTTTCCATGCGCCTTCCACAGACTCTACGGCTAACAATGCGAATATTTAGAATACACTGTACAGTTAAGTTACTGCAGTCGAGGAACACAGTACTATGCTTGCTCATCATCACCATCCTTTGCAATGGCAGGTGCGTCTAGAAAGTTTGGTAGCTCGTGAATGCTCAATGTACTCGAAGCAGCCGCCGATGCGGATAGTTTCGTCTGCCCTTCACCATCGTCGTCGTCATCATCATAGTCGGCCTCTGTGGGAAAGGATCTGGATCCCGTGGCAGATGCTAGAATGGTCTTTTCTCCCAAGTTGGTAATCGAAATCCCATTGACGGAATTGTCAAAGGTTTGGTACACGGCCACGTCTTCTTTTTCACTTGATGACGACGAGTCACAGCAGTCATAAACGCGAAGACAATTGTCTCTTCCACCCACAAACAAATGATTTTGATGTAGGGCGAATTCCAATCGTTGGTTGGTATCATTGTCCGTTTCATAACTCTTGAGAGCGGGACAATGACTGGAGGTTGTAAGCTTGCGCAAATCCCATTGAATCACTGCATTGGACCGTCGACTGAGACTAAACAACGAGGTACCATCGTCCGCAAACTCCAATTGCGTCACACCGGTAATGGCCCGACTTTGAAACCACTTGATTTTGGCCGAGGAGAAGTTGACCTCTCCTCCTCCTTCTTCATCAAAATGATTAAAATGTTTGCGTTTGCGAGAATGCGACTTGCCATGGCCCACGACGCAATTTCCAGTAATGATAATTTGCTGAATGGGAGTGCTTTGGGCTCGGGCATCATATAAATAGATGGAACCAGGAGAATAGGTTCCGCACGCAATGATATTGTGGTAATCCGAATATTGGAGACTCGACACGAGTCCCTTTTGACCATCACTCGACTTGCGGGTCTTGCCCAATTGGAGGCTCACCAAAGGATCCCGACCCGGTCGGGCAACATCAAATATTTGGAGGGCGCGTTCTCGTTTAAAGCCTCCCGTGACAAAATGTTGGCCCCCTTTCAAAAAACAAAATGCCGCCGGAGAATCCAATTCGTCGAGCAGGTTGTAGGGTCGATAGGTGGCTCGAATTTGTCCCGTATATGCATCATATAGATGCACTGGTTGGTCCCTATGGGAATGAATGGAATGGAATGGAATGAATTAATGATACTGTAGGAACAAGAAGCATATGTTGGATTCATCAATTCCATAATAAATGCTTACCGACTCACACCCAAAAAGCAACAGGAAGGAGGATTATTGGATTGCATTTGTGGATACCATTGGAATTGTCGGACGGCATCTCCCGTTTTGTATTCCAACGCTGGTTTCCAATTCTTGTCATTGTCGTTGTCAGACGAAAGGCAGGTATTGAACAATAGTATCCCATTTTGTCGACAGCACGTCAAGAGGCACAAGGCATCGGGAGAGAAACTGACGCCTTGATAAAAGTCATCGGTTTCGGCAAAGTGTTCGCTGTTGTTGAGTTGTGCCTGTACCAGCGTTTTCAACTGACATCTCTCTTGGAGCCTTTGCATGTTGGAGGAAGGTGTGACAATGATACATCACCAATGAAGTGAAGGATACTGTTAACAATAGATTGAAGGGTGACAACAAATTAATGCAGTGACATGAATATTATTTTGCGGAGTATTACAATTGTGATTGCAATCGATGACGATGATGAGGATGCGATACAAGCAATAATTATAATATGATGGAATCAAAAATAATTATTGTTGGAACTTTGTTAGGCTCAATCTGAAACTGCGTCATTCCTCCAACCGTTTTGCAAATGAACGTTGCGATATAAATATAGCGTGTCAAGGCAAATCCTCCCTCGAATGCCTATGTGTGCTTGTTTCATTTGAAGCTGACTGACCGACTTTTCTCTTGTTTGTCGAACACATCAATCAATCAATCAATCAATCAATCAATCAATCAATCAATCAATCAATCAATGAATGAATAGCGCCGGAATTTGGGATGTACTGGAAGAGGATCCTCAAGAACAAGCCGTAGATATGGAATGGAGGCATGATGGTGGTCACGCACGATTCACAAAATGTGCGTAGGCATTTGGTCATGGAAGCATCGGCCAGAGGAAATGCGGACAAAATTTCTTGGGCATCGGCAGTTTCTACCTTGTCCAACAGCACCATTGTTGTCGGCATATCCCTAGAAGCAAATCTATCTGTCATGAAATTGTGGGCTAGAGGTCATTGCTGTACTTTCCATAGTCGCGCACTCCTTCAGGCATACACGGCATGTGGTAGCTTGCGACAACTGAATTCAACCTACACCTCCTTATGTATTGGTCCTGCTTTCGTCTTATCGATACATTAAATGTGATTGTCAGTCATCCTCCAATTGTACGTAATGGCGGGTCTCTAATGCCTCATCGTTGCATTCTCATCTTTTCCCGGTACAAGTATCAACATGGACCCGCGTCTTTTATATACCCGGTTACTCCATTCTCCGCTCTCCAAGCATTACAAGAACACGCATAGTACAAAAATTGAGATAGATATAGAGGTGTATTTATTGTGATGGTATAATTTGCGTTAATGAGAGGGACTGATTGTACCTTTCCTTCTGGCCAGCCGTCCACACCACTGAAAGCCAATCTTGTTCAAAGCGGATATGCGCTCTGGTGAAAGGTTGGAGGACGGGTCGCCCTCCAAGAATAACTTGTACTGGCGGCGCTGGCATTTCACCCAAGTCGATAGCTGCGCATTTGCAGTGCAAGTCGATGGTACATTGCTGTGACCATGGGCTCGACGATAAGCTTTGAGTTCATTAAGCCGCTCTTCCCATAAAGCCGAATGAGAATCCCAGATGAAGCCAGCATCCTCCAATGCTTTGACGCGATGAGGGACCAGCGTGGACTTCTTCCCCTGCTGGAGTAGTAGTTTGTGTTGGTATCTTTGTCTCTTGACCTGACGTATATTAATTCATGAAGTGTTAGTGGCTGGTTGTCCTCGTCTGATAACAAAGCCAGAGAGAATCTTTTTGAACTTACCCATCTTCCTAGAACCGGATTTTCATCGTATTTGTTTGGAACACAGCAATGTCCATGCTTCTGTTTGAATTCCAGAAGCGCCTGGAATTGCTTCTGCCACTGTTTTTCCTGATGATTTCGAAAACGGGGGTATCCTTCCACTTCCGGGGTCACATTATGAGCAGCAGCAGCACTTGTTGCCACATCTGGGAACAAATCAGCGGCAGTTGTTGCCACATCTGGGAACACATCAGCGGCACTGATTTCCACATCTGGGAGCACACCAGTAGCAACGATTGAAGCATCTGGGATCACATCGACAGCACTACTGGTTGCATCAGCTGGGAACACATCAGTAGCACTACTGATTGCAACATCGTTGCATGTACGATGACGTTTGAAACGAGATGCTCTGCTGTTGAGGTTCTCATAGTCATTGTCTTCGATCTGGATGATAGGTCGTTTGAGCACGTTCTCTTGAATCGATTTGTTCTCAGTCGATTGATCAACTAATGTCGAGGACGGCACATAGTCGAGAATGGATCCCAAATCAAACTCTTTGTCATCTCGATAACTCAAATTCATTGCGTGAGTGAGTGGGAATGGATCAATCCAGCGGCAAACTTCCGGTTGGAAGTTTGATTCAGAGCATCCTGTTGTCAGGCGTAGCTTGTTGTCCATTGCTCCAGGGAAGTTGGTATTGATATTCAGCATGATTGAGTTCTTGCAGAAATTTGTGAGAAGAAGAGTATAGGTGATTGTAGCTTTGTTTTACTGTTAGTCTTGTCGAGAATGCAAGAAGGCGAAGAAGAGCACAAGTCAGGTGTTAATAGCTTGGTATTTCACGTCACTTACTGTTCTTAGTTCTGCAGGTACAATAATCTCCTACCAACAGCACCATTTCCTATTGGAAGTCGTTGTCATTTGAAGCGCGACCGACCTTTGCCATAGCGATAATAAAGATCCGAATTTAGTAGTCTAATCCCGATTCGAATTCAGTGTCAGTCGCTCTCGTATAGTCTATTTATATGTACAACTGACCTTTCCCACATATATACAGCGTAATATAAAAGATTCGAACTCTTGAATTTTGACCAGAATGTGACCCCACCGATGTGAACATCAATCTCAAAGTTTCGGTCTAGATTAAAATTCAGAAGTGGCTGTGCATTTTTTTATGTTTATTATACCCGGTGCTCGACTTTGGAATCGCAACCAAAACACTGCATCTTTCTGAACTCTTACCAGCTTCAGGCTCATCTTCGCCTCACAAAAGCCTACGTTCGTCCTATAGTTCTGACAGATAATTCCTCCTGGACACAACTTCCCGCGCTGGGGACTGAAGCATGTATTGTTCAGAACAGACTTTTAGACTTCATGTGTCTGCTGCACAAATCGCCTTTGTCCGTTCGTGCTGCAGAACCGCGGTAGTGTAGTTCACAGTTGGTGAAATATGAGCGTTCCAATCCCGGTCCAATCCTACTCGTATAGCACTTCGTACGTACCGGTACTGATACTGATACTGATACTGAAGCGCTCCAAATCAAATAAAATCTGGCTTCATTTCTTAGAACAGACGTATAGCGTTGGTACCCATACGATGGCAAGACGGTTGAGGTGATTCCAAATCTTGGCTGGACACATATAGGTGATTGGGACAGCAATAGAATACAGTGTACAGTTAAGTCACTAACTGCAGGTACTGCGGTCAAATAATGCAGTACTATGAATGCTCATCATCGTCATCATAATCATCATCATCATTTGCAATGGCAGGTGCGTTTAGAGAGTTTGGTAGCTCGTGAATGCTAAATGTAGTAGTACTCAAAGCAGCTGCCGATGCGGATACTAGTAGTTGCATCTGCCCTTCACCACCACCATCGTCGTCATAATCATCATAGTTGCCTTTTTTAGGAAAGGATCCGGATCTCATAGCAGATGCTAGAATGGTAGTATTTTCTCCTAAGTTGGGAATCGAAATCCCATTGACGGAATTATAAAAGGTTCTTTGGATGAAGGAGTAGGCCTATTCTTCTTTTTTCATATGACGACGGGTCCTCACAGCACTGATACAAGTACACCCCCACAAACAACAAATGATTTTGATGCAAGGCAAATTCCAATCGTTGGTTGGTATCATTGTCCGTTTCATAACTCTTGAGAGCGGGACGAAATATGACTATTAGGTCGCTGGAGCTTTGTTAGGCTCAATCTGAAATTTTGCCAGTCCTCGGATCGTCCGACCGTCACCGTTTTGAAATGAAAAATGAAAATGAAATGCGAAGAAAAAAAGCAATGACAACAATAATATACCATCGTACAATATATAATACCTGACTGCATCTCAAACCAAATCCTTCCTAGGTGTCTACCCTCCAACAATCAATTCAACAAGACGAACAAACAAAAAGATTACTCCGCAGCTTTCAAGTCTACTTTCTTTCACGCACACAGAATCAAATTTCACATTTCAACAGCATACAGTATATTGAAGATAAAGGATGATGCAAGTCGAAACAGCCACTACGTCCACGTCCACAACAACGACGAGCCCATCCAACTCAGCATTGTCGCCGCTGTCGCCTCGTTTGGTGTCCATTTGCGAAGAAATGAATCCTAGCAAACGATCCACCATGGAAGATTGTTGTGTCTATGCGCCAGAGGGCACCTGGGACGGTCCTCCCGATGTTGCCTTTTTGGGAGTCTACGATGGACACGGCGGCCGCGACATGGTGGAATATTTGGAGGATGGTTTACAATGGCACGTCGCCCAAGAACTATGTTGCCAAAACGACGACGCACCCATGGCCACACGATTGGAACGAGCCTTTCTCATGGCGGACATTCATTCCGAACAATTGGGCGTGTCCATGTCGGGTGCCACTGTGGCAATGTGTCTGGTCAAGGTAAGAGATCATGGCATCTAGATATTGATGTAGTGATATTATTGAGTTATGTCAACGATTGTATTCTCATTTTCAGTTTATCGATTCATTTGCTTCCACTATAATATTATTCACAGAAACATTCAACAAACAAGAAGGACGACGATGATTCGTCTTCGTTACGTACCATCTACGCGGCCAACGCCGGTGACGCCCGGATCGTCTTGGGCCACGAGGGCAAGGCCCAACGATTGACCCACGATCACAAACCAGACGATCCTGTCGAAATTGAACGGATTGAAAAGGCGGGGGGATTCTTGTTCAAGCAACGAGTCGTGGGGGTCTTGGCGGTCACGAGAAGTTTGGGAGATCATTGCATGAAGGATTTTGTCATTGCCAAACCCTATTGCAGTGAATTGGAGATTCGTCTACCATCAGCAAACCACTTCTTTTCTGAAGAAGAAAAAGAAGGCGAGTCTAGGGAGAGTGGCGAGAGTAGTAGTAGCAGTTTACCATCCTTTTTGATATTGGCATGGTAAGGATGAGTCGTCCTCGAATGCTTGCTTGTAATATTTTCATACACGGACTGATTGTTCTTCTCTTGTCTGTCCACAATGACACCAATAAATCAATGACTAGCGACGGTCTTTGGGACGTCCTAGAAGATCAGCAAGCGGTAGATATGGTATGGACGCATGGTGCGCACGATCCACACAATGTCGCCAAGCATTTGGTCAAGGAAGCATTGGCCAAAGGAAGTATGGACAATATTTCTGTGGTTGTGGCATGGTTGTAAATGCAAGCGATACTGTACAAACAATAATACGGTACCGGTCGAGTGGTGTTTTTGAAAGATATGTACTACTACAATGGGTTCCTTTGGAAGCAAATAGAAATGTGCTCTTTTGTAAATGGTAGAAGGAGAAGAATATACCAAGCTGCTATCATAAAGACCTTCAGTTTGACTTTGATACGGACAGCTTCTCTTTTCTGCGAGTGTTGACGAGTTCCACTTCTGGGCAGTAGGACTGTCCCGCCTGCGCTTTGAACTGAACGGCCAAAGGGCATCGACAGTTTTACCTTGTACAACAGCACCATTATTTTTTAATATCCCTAGAAGAAAAATCTAGTGAGCTAAAGGGAGTATAAGTACTCTAATTTCTAGTCGTGGTCGTCCCCATCATACTACGCAGCATCTAGTATCCTGCCATGACTGCATTCAGCTCACTTCTCCTTTTTACTGATCTTGTTTTCGTCTTATCAATACTTCTTACATTATTGTCAGTCATCGTTCAATAGTACGTACTGGGCTCGTAATGCCTCGTTGCATTATATTGTAATCATCTTCACCCCGCCGCACGTATCTTTTCATAAAATATATGTTTCGAACCGGATATTATTGGACATTCTCTACTCTCCAAGTATCCAAAAATAAATCTTCCAATATAGAGCTATATTACAGTATTTACACAATGAACTATATGTGGCACTGAGGGACTATTTGACGACTAATATATCAATCACAATCCAAATCGAGGTGGTGGCATAATTTGAGTTACTAAGAATAAGAGGGCCTCGTACCTTTCCTTTTAGCCAGCCGTCCACACCACTGAAAGCCGATCTGGTTCAATGTGGATATGCGCTCTGGTGTCAGGTTGGAGGACGGGTCGCCATCCAAGAATAGCTTGTACTGGCGTCGCTGGCATTTCACCCAAGTCGATAGCTGCGCATTTGCAGTGCAAGTCGATGGTACATTGCTGTGACCATGGACTCGACGATAAGCTTTGAGTTCATTAAGCCGCTCTTCCCATAGAGCCGATTGAGAATCCCAGATGAAGCCAGCATCTTCCAATGCTTTGACGCGGTGAGGGACCAGCGTAGACTTCTTCCCCTGCTGGAGTAGTAGTTTGTGTTGGTATCTTTGTCTCTTGACCTGACGTATATTAATTAATGAAGTGTTAGTGGCTGGTTGTCCTAGTCTGATAAAGCCAGAGAGAAGCTTTATGAACTTACCCATCTTCCTAGAACCGGATTTTCATCGTATTTGTTTGGAACACAGCAATGTCCATGCTTCTGTTTGAATTCCAGAAGCGCCTGGAATTGCTTCTGCCACTGCTTCTCCTGAGAGCTTCGAAAACGGGGGTATTCCCGCGCCTCCGGGGTCACATTATGAGCAGCAGCGGCACTTGTTGCCACATCTGGGAACACATCAGTGTCACTGATTTCCACATCTGGGAACACATCAGCAGCATCGATTTCCACATCTAGGAAAACATCAGCAGCACAGATTCCGACATCTGGGATCATATCAGCAGCATTACTGATTGCGACATCGTTGCATGTACGATGGCGTTTGAAAGGAGGTGCTCTGCTGTGGTTCTCGTAGTCATTGTCTTCGATCTGGATGACGGGTCGTTTGAGCACGTTCTCTTGAATCGATTTGTTCTCAGTCGATTGATCAACTAATGTCGAGGACGGCACATAGTCGAGAATGGATCCCAAATCAAACTCTTTGTCATCTCGATAACTCAAATTCATTGCGTGAGTGAGTGGGAATGGATCGATCCAGCGGCAACCTTCTTGTTGGAATAAGTTTGATTCAGAGCATCCTGCTGTCAGGCGTAGCTTATTGTCCAGCATTGCTCCAGGGAATTTGGTATTGATATTCAGCATGATTGAGTTCTTGCAGAAAAATTGTGAGAAGATGAAGAGCACCGCATTAGAAGAAAGGTGATTGTAGCTTTGTATTTCACCCCTCACTATGCTGTTAGTCTTGTTGTCGCGAATGGAAGAAGGCGAAGGGCATAAGGCAGCTTGGCATTGCACGTCACATGCTGTTTCTAGTTCTGCAAGAATAATAATCACTCAACAAACAGCACCATTCCCTATTGCAAGTGGCTGTCATCCGGAGTGAGACCGGCCTTTGTCATAGCAGTATAATAAAAATTCGAATTTAGTATTATTCTAATACAATGTCGGCGAAACTGTGAGCGAAGTCGCCATCACCTGTCAGTCTAAAAGTACAACCGACCTCTCCCATATGTAAAACAGTAATAAAAACTCGAACTCTTGAATTTCGACGAGAACCTGCCTGGCTGCATGTTTCCGAATAAATTCTCAGGCTCATCTTTGCCGGGTAGGCGGTTAGATCTCTCAGAGGGACTGCAGTGTGTCCCGCGCGAGTGAGTCGCAGCGCAATCATGCAACTGGCATATACCGTACATGGAGGAAGCTTGCGCACATGAATTGAAATTGGTGGCAAACAAGGATTTCTCATTCTTCGTCAGCAATGGGAGCAGCCGGGGTCCACTGAAGTTTATCCACTCCCATCCAGCCATATGACTCTAGATAAGTAGTTTAATTTGGTTCCGGGACCTTTCGGGCATGTCATAAGAACTTCATTTGACAAGCACAGCTTGGTCTGGGGACCGTTCCCCATGACCCATGTCAAATATAAGGTATTACGGAATCGAACCGCTGCGCCAACCAGGCTACCTTAATCTGACTAGTCCAATCTAAGTATGTTCCAACATCCTCCCTTATTTGATACTTAGATATAGCCCGCACACCCATCTCTGGTGTCAAAACCCTCACACGTCCATCTTTATCCTGTCGATGCAGACAGTTGGCATTCATTTCCAAGATCAACAAGGGACATGTGAATCGAGGACTCGATCCCATAACCTTACCATGTCAAATATAAGGTATTACGGAATCGAACCGCTGCGGCAACCATAGGCTACCTGAATCTGAATAGTCCAATCTAAGTATCTACTAATACACGCAGACCCATAATAGCAACGGCACGTTGTTTTCCGCAATATAATAATACTGCGACCTGGTCTGTCCGACCACCTTGAAGGAGTGTATCCAACTCTTGAGAGTTTGAGTAGCGTGTGCTAAAGAGAGTGGAGCAATCGCACAATCGTCCTGACTGAAAATGGCTGCTGGACACGACGTCCCAAGTTATAAAAACCCTACAAATAGAAGCCCCCGAAAACAGCAAAAGTCAAGCAAGATTATTTGGAGCGATGAGGATGCATTAGCCAACTCCTATATGGAAGGAATGGTGGTATCTACAAGGCCAAGAGTCTGCAAATAGTGTGAAGCAGAGACATCACGTGCCGTAAAGGCAAAAAAACTATAAGAACAAATATTTAGTCGACGGAGTCGAGCATCAGAGTTGGTCGACTGATCTGAGCTGAATCGTCCGCCACTCGATGCGACAAGAAATGTTAACTATATAAATAGCTTCAATTTCTGACACCCGACCCAACCCCACCGTACATCTCAGTTTTCATGTGCACAACCACAAAGTAGTAAGCAAAGCTGCCCTGGGAAAAGAAGACGGGCCACTTTGCAAATAAATGCCACTTTGCAAATAAATGTACATAATGGTATAGTTAAACGCAGCTAGCTATATTGTATAGTTTTACATCATGTAACCGCGTCCTCTTCTGGCCGACGGAAATATGTTGGAAAGCTTATTGGAGGAGCCGCCTTCGCTATTTGACATATCAATTCCAGATTTTGCAAACTCGGAGGACGACTTGAATCGTTTCGATGGTCCTCCTCCTCGGCCTCCTCCACGTCCACCTCCTCGTCCGCCTCGTCCACCCCTTCCTCCTCGTCCACCCCTACCTCCTCGTCCTCCTCCAGACGAAGGGCCACTGCTCTGACGATCGTCGGGCTTTCGCTTCTTTCGTGGCCCTTGATTGTGCTTATTCATATTCTTATCACCGTCATCCTCGTAGACTCCCTCCTCGGCAAACTTAGTAATCAAAAAGGTAAGATAGGCACTTGGATTGTCCATGTCGCGGCCACTTCCTTCAATGTACTTGGCCACTGCGGCACGGACCACGGGTCCAGAATGCCGCTTACACAGGGCAATGACACCCTCGTCCAATTCATCCTCCCGAAGTTCTCCCGTCTTTTTGTATTCTCCCAAGATGCTGTCCATGACTTCCGCAAAATACTCTTCCTGTTCCTTGCGGTACTGCTTGATTTTGGTTTGCCGTTTGGTGGAATTCTTGCTGCCTCCGGCACTACGTTCGACATTGATTCGACGACCTTTCAAAAAGGTTTGGTGTAGTTTCAACAAGCCATACAGTATTTCGGGATCGTCCACCTCACAAAAGGCCATTCCCCGTGACTTTTTGGTTTTCGAGTCGGTCAACATGCGAATCTTGATATCATGTTTGCGGACTTTTGGAAAGTCGGTTTGTAGTTGGGATCGAATATGTTCCATGAGCTCTTCCGAGGTAGTGTCGAAGGATAGTTGGCCGATGAAGGCAATGTAGGGATCTCGGTCGTTCTTTTTCTCTTTCGAGTTTTTGTCCTTTGACTTGCCCATCTTTTTGGATTCCTTATCCCACCATTCGAGCAAGGCTTCTGGGGCCATCTCAGTCTCTTCAGTAGCAATGGCTTCCGCCTTTCGTTTGGCGGATCGACGATCTTTGGCTTTGAGTTCGTCATTGGTTTCAAGCTCCTCCAATGCCTTTTTCAGCTTCATGGCGGCTTTCCTTTTGGCTTCGAGTTTGGGATCCACAGCATCTGCTTTGTTTGATCCCGAATCCTCTTGCTTATTCTTCTCATACCACTGAATTAGTTCTTCTACTGGCATACCGATTTCTTCCGAGACAATCGCTTCCGCCTTTCGTTTGGCAGATCGTCGATCTTTGGCTTTCATTTCTTCATTGGTTTCAATATCCTTCAATTCCTTCACCAATCGGATTGCCGCTTCTGTCCGCTTTTGAAATTCGGCTGAATCTAGACCATCCTTGGCACTTTCGTCATGCTGGGGTGTTGTGGTCGTCTCTTTTCCTTCTTCCACAGGATTTTCATCTTTGGTAGTCTCATCTTCCTCTTGTTCTGTGGGAGCAGGAGGAGTCACGTTTTCATACGTTTCTCCACGCTTGGAAGCACGCTCCTGCATGCGTCGAATTTGTGCAGCTGATTTTTTCTTGCCCATGTTTATTGATTTGCAACTTTGCGGTGACTTTTTCTCTGTTTCCTTGCTGTCGGGAAATGTTTTATGTGGTGTGATGGTCAATTTTATCGTTGGTTCTGTGACGAGACGTGCGGGCTGACAGACAGACACCTGATCATTCCAGTCGATGGATGATGAATGAATGATAGTGAGTCATGAGTCAGAACAATGACGAATATCCGTTCATCATCATCATCATCATCCTTGCAACGCGTCGACACAAGAGAGCATTTCACAACAACACAATCCAAGCAACACATCACCATGAGAAGCACTCTGAACTGATGCAAAGATGAAAGGTCACTGTTTGTTTATTCTCACTTCCAAGAATTCAAAACAAAGTACAACCACACTACCACCAAGAAATGTCACTCACGTGCAAGTGGATTGTTGTGCAACTGAAATTCCAAACCGGATCTTTCGGGATTGCACCCAGTTGTGCCAGGTGTTGTTTGCGGAAAGACCGCAAAATAAAGACAAACAGCAGCAGGAACAGCAACATCCACAGTGGTTTGGGATTGGACATCGCGCTTTTGATACTTGCATCCTATTGCAAGAAGTCTCCATTCCTTCCTTTGTGACCATCATAGGTAATTTGGCATTTGGTGACTGTCGCATGCTGACCACGGTGAAACTTTCAGAGGGTCTCAAAGTCTTGGAAGGATCCTCCTTTTACAATTGTTCCTCCCTGAAAGAGGTTGCCATTCCGTCTACCGTCGAAGTGTTGGGACCGGGGATCTTTGAAAATTGCGTTCGGCTCGTACGCGTCAAGCTTCCAGAGGGTTTGAAGGCAATTGAGTACTCCACCTTTCTGTACTGCAAAGCTCTACAAGAGGTGACGATCCCATCGACCGTAAAACGCATTGGTAAAAGTGCCTTTCAATGCTGCGAATCGTTGCAAGATATTCCATTTCCGCATGGATTGAAACGGATCGAGGAGGGGGCCTTTGCTTTGTGCAAATCGTTGGGTGCCATTTCCATTCCACCCGCAGTGGACTTTATCGAATACCGGGCGTTTGAAAATTGTTCCAACCTGGTAGCGGTTCAGTTTCAAAACGGGACGAATGCAAAACTGCGCACGGCTTCCTTTCGTGGACTGCATTCGTTGATGAACATATTTTTGCCCCAATCCATGAGCCCAGTCAAGATCGTAAAGGGGGCATTCGAAGACTGTACCTGGTTGGAAGCCGAGTTTTATCACGGGAACCCTTCGCAGCATGTGCCAGGACGAGTGGATATGGCAGAGCACGAACGAGTGGTGGAAGGATTGTGCAATCGATACCGTAGCCTACCATTGCATAGGTTTTGCTACAATCCGCCGACACCACACGTGCTCAACGAAGAGCTTTTGGCCCAAGTGAAGATTGATTCGATTTCGAAAGAGTGTCTTCGTGTCGATTGCTTTGAAATGTCTCCATTTCACATTCTGGCCTCATGTGCAAACATTCGAGTGGACGTCTTTGAGCTGTTGCTGGCGTTGCTGGATCCTCTAACAGCGCACAAGTGCTGCTCGCAATTGGACCGAAGAGGCAAAAGCTGCATCGACTATTTGATGACGCATCCTTCTCGATCACAAAAGGAATCTTTTTCCATGATTCGATATATTCTCGAGAGGACTTTTGCCGATCGACTATCGAAATGGGGTTTGAAGGATTGGCATCCAAAGATGTCTCGTCTCATCAAATCGATTGATCTGAATGTTGATGCCGACAAAAGGGCACACCTTTTAAATAAGGTGTACAAGAATATGGCAATGCACGAACGGCACGAGAAGTCATCACTGTTGGAACTAGCATTGTGGAACATGGAGTTGACGCCTTTTGATACACTGGAAATACCACATCATTCTTTGGATCGAGGCCCCTTGCGGATCCGATGCGGTGCAAATGTCGTTATACCACATGTCACATCGTTTTTGTAAATCACTTGCGGTGTTTCGACAGTTGCTTCGTTCGGAATGACGAGCTTGATGGCTGAGGGTTTTTGAAAAACCACTAGCTGAGTCCTATATCACCGCCTTTCGGCCTGAACAACGAGATGATAAAGATGAAACGTACCGGTAGAAGTCTAATTCGATTATTTCCTTTGATGACAATTGGCTAATTGGGCCTGGAGTATTCGAAGAGATCAGCTTGCGGGGTACACAGCATTTAGTTTTAGCAACTATCACCCTGGCACAGCTTGGGACTCGATGACAATTAGATTGATCATTGTGGTGTATATGCGTTTTTGTGTCTGGTGGGTCCGCAGTATGGTGTACCTACGATTCTATACCAGAATGAGCAATACGGATGAGTACCGAATCGCAATCTCCTGTCAGTCCGAAGCCAGAGCAATAATAAAACTTGGGATTGACTTTCACTGTGGTGTTTTCAATACTCAATCTCCTTTTTCAATGATCGTTGAGATCTGCGATCAAAAATTCGGAATCCGCAGATATACACATTATTATATGCGATGACGATATAATGAATGCGTACCGATGATATTCGTCCCGCAAGACGAAGTATACAGGGTAGGGTGTAAGGTCCGCAAATAGTGAGAAATGCAGACGCCGTAAAGACCGTGGAATGAATTGACCAACCTTACCTTGTATGTAAATTCAGCAGGAGGCCAATTTGTCTACGAGATCTCCCTTTCCAAAGACGGAAAGCGAGTGGCTATCGGTTCTGGAAACTCAGGAAGTGTAGCTGTCTACGAGCTGGTGAATGGGGCGTGGGCTCTTACCGAAGGTATATTCAAGGTGACGCAGAGGATATTGCGTTCGTTTTTTCAGTATCGTTTTCCGCGGATGGATCGCACGTGATTGTTACGCCGGTACTGTCGGAGTCTACGAATGCGATATCGATGAAGAGCTAAATGGGGATCAACACGGCAAAGGTCTGTTGGAAGATGGGTTGGTTGTTGCAATTGGTGCTAAAAGGCACGCAAGAGTGTTCGAATTGAGCGGAGGAAGCTGGACAAAGCGCGGCCAAGATCTAGATTATATGGCAGTTGTTCAGCTCTTGACGTTTCGGTGGCTCTCTCTGGTAATGGAAACATCGTCGTCGTTGGATTGAATTATGGAGTGCGAGTGCTTGAGTGGAAAGATATGGAGTGGATCCAACTTGGACAAGGTTTCAAATTCAAAGTTTATGACGAAGAAGTTGTTTATGGATCTATGCTTTCCTTACCATCTTCTGGCTCCATCCTTGCCATTGGTTCGCGTGGATCAGCCACGTTGGACGGTCTTCCGGTAGCGGTGTATACCTTGGCCGATGGTACTTGGGTAGAGCTAGACGGCCTGGTCGCCAACTCCAATGGAAATAGAGTTTCACTATCCAGCGATGGATCTGCTTTTTTGATTGGAAGAAGTTGGGAGTCATCTTTCGTTTCCATTTACAGCTTGAATGTAGGTATAATCTGTTCGAGCTTGCTGGTGCTAGGATACTTGATACTTCAACTCATCACGGCGATTTTTCAGTACTCGCGGGAGACCACTCCGACGGATGGACCCACCCCATCACGAGCCCTCTCACCATCCTCTGGACCAAGTGGTATGGCACCAACCGCTAGACCAACAACCTCCGGATGTATCGGAAATCTACATTGGATCGTTATTTGTTCACTAGCCATCCTCTTGCCTTGTCGGTTTCTCTGTCGTACACTACCATCTTTCTTCTCATATTTTGGGACAAAGTAGTTTACGTGTTTTTAAAAAAATGGCAATGTTGGAGATGGCCGGTGGCTCTATTCTTGTCTGTTTTAAAAGAAATAGGATTATGGTTCACTGAATTGGCATATCGAAATTATGTGATGAAGGAAATTCATTGATGCAAGCTCGGGCGATAGTGAATGCAGTATCCTTGCTAACTTATTTTAAATTGATTGATTCACTATCTGGGTCCAGTACCAGGTCCACGTGATGTACTGGTAGTTTCATCTATATTTTAGACATCAACAGTTGGTTTCCAGCATACGCAGAGCGACCGACTGACGCTCGCGACCAACAATAAACCTTTTTAAGCGGCATGTGCTCGTACTGGTACCGGTAGAAGCTGGGACGGCCGGGAAAATCAAAATTTACTCGCAAGAATTGTATGCTAAATTTCTATTTCCAGGCCGTTCCTGTGTACAGTACTTGGTACGTGTACGTGTACAGTAATGATGTGGACAATGAACGTCATCACGTTTGAATTATTATTACGTGCCCGCAAAAACTTGGATTTACTTGCAACATCATGAATACAACCCACACTCCACACTGCTTATATTCCTACAGGCACAAGTTGTGTCTCAATTGTTGAAAACAGTGGCCACGAAAACGCAGCGCTTCTTAATATATTGCTTCACAACAAGAAGATGGAAGCAGACACCAATGGTCGGCATTTGTTTGTCCTTTCTGCTCATCATCGTAATACTACAGCAGATGATTTGAGCGCGATGACTCATTTGCTAGTGGACTCATCAGTGACATACATCCCAGAGAATGCCTGTTTTGCTTCTACTCAGCTGTGCCAGGTCACGTTTGCGGAACGCCTGCCTCTTTCGCCCGACGGCTCTTGGCGCAGAAATCAGGAACTGTTTATCGGATCTCGAGCATTCAGTATCAATGAATCATTGCAAGAACTCAGTTTGCCATCATTTGTGACAACCATCGGCGATGATGCCATATCGAACTGTCATGCGTTGACCAAGGTGACGCTTTCGGAAGGATTAAGGCACATTGGAAGTCGTTCCTTTTACAACTGCATATCTTTGAAAGAAATTGGCGTTCCGTTTACAGTGGAATTCATTGGTCATTCCGCGTTTGCCCACTGCAGAAGTTTGGCGAGAGTGAAGCTGCCAGAAGGCTTGAAAAAAGTTTCCCACGCCATGTTCTTGAGCTGTGTTTCATTGCCAGAGTTGCTGCTTCCATCAACTGTCGAAGAGATTATAGCGGCGGCTTTTCTTGGCTGTCGAGCGCTCGAGTACATTCCTTTTCCAAGAGGATTGAAACGGATCGAGAGAGAATCCTTTCGATGCTGCGTGTCCCTCTTCGCGGTCTCCATTTCGACGACGACGGAGGACATTGCGAAGCGTGCGTTTTCGAGTTGCACGAATCTCACAGCATTCCATATTCCAGCTGGTTCCACTGTGAAATTTCATGAAAGGTCGTTCGAAGATTGTTGCTCGCTGATGAATATTGCCATTCCTGAATCGATGAGTCTTGATGACGATGCAGCAGTCGAAGCAAAAACCTTTCAAGGTTGCTCAAGGTTGGAAGGTGCATTTGGTCAAGGGATTGAAGAAGGATTGCAACGAAGATTTCTTGACCTTCCACTTCATAAGCTATGTTATGATCCACTGGCGAGAACGGAGGGAGTAGATCACATGTTGGCAACATTGGTTTCCACCGCCGCTGCCAAGAAGATCGACCACCTTGGCATGAGTCCATTCCACATACTTACCTCGTCTGCAAACCTTCGAGAGGATATTTTCAAATACATTCTTTCCGGACTCGATTATCTCGAAGCGTATCAATGTTGTTGGCAGAAAGATTACCAAGGCAAGACTTGTATCGACTACTTGCTGGAGCAACCCCGGCGATCCAATGAAGTGTCGAACTCCATGATTCAAATGATCCTCAAGAAATCAGTGCAGGATCGATTGCTGGGTTGGGGTTTGGAAAGCTGGCGATTGGAGATGTCTGGCACCATTGATCGGATATGCACGAATGAGGATGCCGACGCAAACAAGGAATTGGTGGACGAATTGTACCAGAAAATGTCGAAGTATGAGGAGCATGAGAACATATCTATGTTAGAACTAGCATTGTGGAAGAAGGAGTTGCAGTCTATTAAAAGACTGGAAAACTTGCAGCTTTCATTGGATCGGCTTTCTTTTCGTATCAGATGTGGTACAGCTGTCGCAATACCACACGTGATGGCGTTTCTCTAGACGATGCTACTGATTCAACATCGGCAGTCCGTCCTTTGGGAGCAGAGGAAGCAGTACTTGCCAGTCGGCTGACGCCATCATCTACAGTATGGAATACTTTACAGTTTCATCTATCTTATATAGGACTATGCTAGGGCAGCTGAAGAAGGATTGCAACGAAGATTTCTTGACCTTCCACTTCATAAGCTATGTTGTGATCCACTCGCGAGAACGGAGGGAATAGATCATATGTTGGTAACGTTGGATTCCGCCGCCGCCGCCAAGAAGATCGACCACCTTGGCATGAGTCCATTCCACATACTTACCTCGTCTGCAAACCTTCGAGAGGATATTTTCAAATACATTCTTTCCGGACTCGATTATCTCGAAGCGCATCAATGTTGTTGGCAGAAAGATTACCAAGGCAAGACTTGTATCGACTACTTGCTGGAGCAACCCCGGCGATCCAATGAAGTGTCGAACTCCATGATTCAAATGATCCTCAAGAAATCAGTGCAGGA